CCCCGGCCTGTTATCTCTCTTATTTGGCCAATTTCTACTCTTTCCAGCCGCCTCCTGAAGACTGGTAGAGGCTAAGCTAAACTGGCCCAAGATGCATTTTCTGTATTTTTATTTTATTTTATGAAGATTTACCACATTTGTGGAAGGATTGACATAACAGGTGACTATCACCTCTTCAAGATGTCAACCCTGAGACCAGACTGTAAGGTTTGAACCACTCACACCGGGAAGGTCCCCTACTCTTTTCAATAAGTGCGGTGGGTTCTTTAACATGCGTGGGGTGTGGCTCTCCCAAACATGGGACCTCCATGTAACTGAACATCCTATCCGAGGGACGTTCCTAACCGAAGCTAGGTACTCATTTACACCTGAATGAAGTGAGGAAAGTCGTGTAAAGTGCCTTTCCCAAGGGCACAAGATCGGTGACACCGGGCAGGATTTGAACCCTCGACCTCTTGGGCCTGGGCTGAACACGTTACTGCTTACTGCTACGCCACAATGTGTGTTCACATCTGGTCAGCCCCACCTGTTGACAACTTGTATTGGTGTTAACCAGGTCAGGTGTGTGCAGGTATTGAAGCAGTGATTGGCCTGGACAGGAAAGTAAATTTACACATCCTCAAAGTCAACACTCTTAAGCCTTATGTGTGTCATTGCATAGTGCTTATGTGTCAGGTAAATTAGCACAGGTACTGAAAGGGCATCAAATTCAGAGGGCTAGTAGAGGCAGGGCTGCATACAGTAGCCTCTACCAGGATTCAGAAGCGGTTAGAGAGTGGTAAGATACTAGTAGATGATATACCAGGGGAGTTGTTCAAGTAGTTTTGGAAGCGGCAAACTATTCCTTTTGCAGACCAACTCCTCTGGCATGGTGTTATTATATCAATTTGACCAAATTGTACTCTTTCAACCCACTTCTGAAGCCTGGTGGAGGCTACCTATAATAAAACATTTGACCCCCATATTTTAATTTGAAGGGCCGATTGTTTTCTTCTATGTTTGAAGACACTAGGTTTTGTTGAGTTACTAGTACCTTACATTTTTGTGTGTATTTTTTCAATAGACCACACAAGTAAATATGAAGTAAACATACACTTCTTTTAGTAGTAAATGTACCAAGACCTGAATTTGAGTAACATGACAAACTACATGGGATGTTGCGTAGTATAGCATGTTGTTGTTACCAGTGTCTAATTAAAACACGGTTAAACTATTAGGTGATTGCTCAAGTGTGTGATGTTTAGTGATGGAAAATTTTACTGTTTCATTCTCTATCATTCTTACAGTCAATTGACTAGACTGTTAAATCGGGCAGCCAGGATTATTACTGGGCGATCACTCAAAGATCGTGTACCTACAGAAACCCTGCTTGCAGAGGCTGGTATGGTACCCCTGGCTGAAAGGGTGAAACTGAACACATTAGTAACTGTACACAAGGCAGTTCGCCACAAGGCACCTGCCTACATGACACATATGTTCAAATGGCTGTCACCCCCAGTGCTGAGAGTTCGTACTCGCACTGCTACGAAACAGCTCTACAGCTTCGACCCTCACATGCTGGACACTCCCAAAGCACATGTGGAATCTTTCAAGGGCAGCCTGCAGTACCAAGGGCCAGTCCTGTGGAACTGTCTTGCTGCTGACCAGCGGCAACTGATAGCAACGTCAGCTTTTAAAAACGGACTGTAGATGACCGCAGATGAAATGTGCCTATATTGTATACTGTGATTGTTTTGTATAATATGTAAATGTTTGTAATATTTGTTGTATATTGTTGCGTTGAACTTGTGTATGTAATTTTTAATGTGTGCCCAGGGATACCTGAAAATCAGATCAACTGATCTGAGGTATGCCCTGGTGAAATAAATAAACTTGAAACTCTCATTGCTATTCATATCAATGTAACATAGTGGCAAACAGGTGGCAAAGGATAGCAATTACTAGTTTCATTATGTCCATATACTGTACCATACTCACTATAACTGACAGAAATTAAACTGAAGCACACAAGAACTCTGACAACAATTGACTTGGCATTTTTAATTATTTTATTCATGTCTGCCTGTGTGTCAATCAATATGGAGACTACATAATGCTCCAATACATGAACATAGGACTCATTTTCCTGTCTACAAAATCTATGCCAAGCTTAGTCAGTCTAGTCAAAAGCTACAGAAGAGAGAGAAAAGCACAACTATTTGGTACGAATGCTTATCTGGGCAACTCCTTTTTATTTTACAAGTCTTCATAAGGAGACAGTCGACAAGGACCGATCCTTAAGATGCCCAGAACTATGGTTTACCTTAAAGCTTTGGTAGTGAGCTAGCAGTTGTCAAATCACTAGATGGAATGGGGTGCAAGCCTTTACAAATTGGAAGTAGAAAAACTGCACACGCATACACAATCTGCGCTAAGGAGTCGCTTAAGTGGGGAGGGGGGGAAGAAATGCTGGAGATTGTTCCTACTTTACATTGACTAGCCAGTTTATACGATGTTTGTCACCCTTAAACTGGATAGAACAAGTTTTAAACCACGTGATCACCCCTTTCTCGATCCACGTCTCTGCCATTAAATTTTTTTTAACCCCTGTTAAGTCTACGCTACGTCTACAGACAATAAAAATATACATTTTTTTTCTGCACCATAAAATCACCAATTCGCTTTCATTGGATCCTCAACATTTTGTACAGAACTTTATACACCCGTCTGGAGCCCACAAGCATCGATGAGCGGCCGGCAGACATGTGGTGGAGAAACGGGGGTGATCACGTCGTCTTTGTGTGGTTAATTTGTTCTCTCAAGAACACATACGCAGCAGGAGGAATGGAACAGGTACATCGGCAGCAATTTGAACAAGCGGACTCTCTCTCTCTCTAACTGCAAACTCACATTATCAAACCAGTGAAATGACCAACATCAATAGTAAACTATTCAAGATATGTATATACATACAAAACTGGAGAAACGGGACCTAATCGTACCCTTATCGTCAAAGCTGACGTCAATTAAGATCCTCAGCTGATCAACAAATTAATTTCTCCCCAAAACCAAGTTTATTGATGGCAACCAACAACTCATCTTGTGCCGATCTTCAAAGCCGGTTGTTTTGTAACAGTAACACTTCACTGTATATCTCTGGTCCCTTCCAAACGTTATAGATGAGAGCCAAGAAGAGTTATCGACCAGCCACAATCAACTCATACCTTGTCTCTACAAGTAGCTACCCCCCACTACCTCGTCTATACAGTATAAAACTAAGTCTCTGTGGATCACTAGTCGTCTTCATCCTCGTCTCCCAAGTCTGCATCGTCGCGTTTCCGCTTCTCGCCTCGCTGGTGATCTCCGGCCTCCTCATCATCATCATCCTCATCTTCCTCCTCCTCCTCATCTTCATCATCATCCCCAGGCTCGAAGTCTTCCTCCTCTTCCTCATCCTGTAAGGGTGAAATACGGCTTTAGACTTGCAAAAATAGTTTCATCAGGAAGGTAAAGTATAGGATACATGTGTTTTCGTTTACACAACCAAAATTTTTCACCAAAGTGCTGACTTTTTTTTTTTTTAACTGAGTGGTTCAATGCAAGGCCTCTACGACCACTTCTCGGCATTGAACTAGAAATATGAGATAAACATGGCTATGTCAAGAGATGGCGGTGAACGTTTGATTTGAAAGCCTGTAGATTGTAGGTTGGTGGGAAACACTTGTCAAGGAGGGAATTCCAAAGCTTGGCCGTATGGGGAAAGAAACTGTCATTGTAAAAAGATTTTGAACAAGGAATTTGGACGGTGAAAAGGATTGTGTTCTTGCCACAAAGGTGCCACCTACATCGGCTACATATAGCGGCAAGAAGCAGAAGGTTTCTGATAGACACTGAAACGTCAGCACTTAGGTGAGAAATTTTGATTGTGTAAAAGAAAACTCCTGTATCCTGAGACTTTAGACTTGGTACAAAATACAACGAAAGTCAGTGTGTGCAAGTCGTTCTGAAATGAAAAACCAGTAAACTGACATTTCGTGTTCCAAACAAACCAGTCAACATCAACTGATACCCAATTCTAAATGTTTGCTAACTTTATCCCAACTGCAAACCTGGAAATGCTTCAAATTATCAAATCCAAGAACTCTAAGAGGGTGTTAGGGCACTGTTGTGTTAGCTTGAAGACCATGTTCAATTTCCTACATCAAAGCACAAGAAGAACAGAGAGCATCTGCATCTAAAAAAAGTATAGGGTGAAAATCTGCATCTGCAAAGTCTGTAAATAGACAGGCAAACGAAACAGCATTCCAAAGCAAGCTGTAGTTTCTAAAAGTCAAACTTGCATTGAGAGAAGAAAAGCACAGCAAACAAGACTATGTTATGCACACAACGCACGCAAAAGCTTGAACGGATGCAAACTGAGAGACAGAAAACACAGGCAGCGAGAAGTTCTAGCTAGGGCAGCCGTTACCTTTTGCTGCATTTGCAGAAGTTGCAGAACTCCTGGCCCCCACTGGGGATACAAAAACCAGTCAGGGACCATCCACAATTATCAACACCCCATCACAACCAAAAGCTGTTTGTTTCCCCATCAATACACAAACATTTACATCTCAGTAAGGCCACGGCAAGTAAATTTTATGGATGACATCCTCCACAGACTCCAAAATCGAATGCGAGCGGCCGAAAAAAACCATTAAATCAGTCTTTTCTTGTCTCCTCTCCACATAGTTATCTGCCATCCACCTTCCGGCATGGCAACAGATATCTTTGTCCATTTTCGGCTGTCAGAAGGCAACATAATTTCTTTTTTTCCCAAAATCAGCCGAAAATTACTTGCTGTGGCCTAAGGTAGATCTTTGTTTTGCTGAAGTCAATACCACTGATATATCACAACAGCCTTGGTTCTGGTGAGGTATTGGTAAAGATGGAACAGATACAATGCTTTCTCCCTGCTCTACATGATACACAACACTCCAAACACACCAGGTGGATAAAAACACAAGCCACACGCTTAACATCATCCATATCTGCACTTCTATGTGACAGCAGTGAAGGAAGGACATGTTAGACAGCACAGGAGAAACACTCACACCCGCACACAGAAAAACTGGCCTACCACACAAGGGGCAAACAAACATTAGTGAAAACCTTTTCCTACAAGCCTGCAAAGGGACACCTTCAACCACTGAACTGTGGCTGTCAAGCTGGCTGAATTGAAGGTGAGAAAATGACTCTTCTGAAGATCTACTCTTGTTCTCTAGTTTTAAAGAGGTTCCTATCCAACAGCATAGCCACTTTTGATGTCTACTTCTTTTAGAATCTATGGTCAGTGATAAAGTGTTTGGTCAGCAAAAGGAAAAGCTGAAACTAAATGTTTTTGTACCATAGGGGGAAAAAAGAGCCAACTTTGAAGACCTCATTTTTTAAACCCAGTAGCATGCTGGTTATAGCATTGGAATATATGTTCATAGGATTGCGAAAAATAATGCACACCGGACGTCTGATTTAATAAAAGAATACTGATAAAAAGCTTCCTAGTGTCCTTTGTAGAGTTTTTGAATATTTTCAAACCAAGCCCAAAATATTATGAAGAAGGCTCTGCAGTGAAGCATTGCAAAGTCTTTTTTGGGACTTCAACATGTATTGTCACCTGTTGGCCATTTGCAAACTTTTAGGCCTATTGTATATGTCAACTTGTGGAAATTTGTATATGTACATGTGAACTCGCAATTCAGCTCATCAGCTGCGATGAGTTTGTATCGAATAATAAACCATTCTAAACATGTCACATTGGAGGCTTGTGGGAAGAAGGCTGAAACAGGTGGAACATTCACTGACGTCTATGTCCTTGTTGTAGAGGTATTCGAGCCCCACCTCCGATCCACTCTCTCCCTCATCCTCCTCTTCTCCCTCCACCTCACCATCATCATCATCCTCATCATCCTCGTCCCCCTCATCATCATCATCATCGTCATCATCCTCATCATCTTCATCATCATCTGCAAGGAAAACAACAGGAGTTAGTCATCTGTGTAACACAGAGAGGAAACAAACTTTAGGAAATGTCAGGAGGGCTTGCTGCAGGGCTTTCAAGATGCACAGGATTTTAATGTTTTCCAAAGGAAAACATTGTTTTTGCTCAGTTTCTTCCTCTTCTTCTTCTCGAAACAGTAACCTATGACCTGACCAATGACATGATTTGTTGATGTCTGTCACCATGGTGAGTGGTGTTGACTTACATAGTGTTGCAATTTCATGGTCTGCTGATGTCTGATGGCAATGTTTTCTTCATTTTGCAGCACAGGTTTTGCAATGTATGGAAAATTTTAGGTGGTTTAGAACGAAAAAGGGTATGTGACATGTTTTTTTTTTTTGTAATAAGTCTGGAACTGGTTCTTGCCTTTAAGTTTTTTTTGGACTTGAACCTAATTTAAACATTTTTACAAGTCCGGAACCGGTCCAGTGAACCGGTAGACAGCACTATCCTGAAGCAAGCCCTACTGACAGTTGTTTTCTATCCAACACACAGGAAACGGTCAAGTCTTGTGAACTGTGACTGGAGAACAAGAGAGGTTTTGTTAGCAGAAGTTCGGACAGAGCCACAGCACACTGCAACGTCTTCAACAGCAAACAGTTGTTAGGAACAGCCAGGAAAAAAGTGGAAAGCAGGGAGTAAGTACAGCAATCTCAACAGCAAAGCTAAGCAAACCAACAACTAATCTTACCACTTGCCTCTTTCCTTACTGTGGTCTTCTTTACTTAATGCCTTTTAAATTTTATCTCATTGCCCCACAAGGATAATAATATTCACACACTTCAAAAGCAAAGCAATCCTTGGCATGTGATTATACAAATTCAGCAGAAAACCTGCATTAAGTTACATGTTATACAAGTCATTTACAATTTTATCTATTTACACTTTTATCTATGCTGGGCAATTTTTTTTTAGTATCTTTGACAAGAACTACGCTGTCTCTTTCAAGTGCTGACTTGATTTTTATCTCCTTTTTTTTTATACGACTGATCACTACAGTTCACTGAAAGAAACTACTCTCTCTTACAGGTAAGATCGCAAATGTGCAACTGGAAGTTGGTCTTGTCTAACAAGTAAGTTTAAAAAATGTCTTTTATAGTTGTCCCAGCCTAAATTTTAGTGGTCAGTGGCCATTGGACCACCTATGATTTGCCCTGAACTAGTTGTTCTAATTTTTGAAAATCTATTGTCAAAACTTTCTTCCAAGCAATACATTGTACATGGTAAGGGTCTAGTTAATGTTTTTTCTTCTTCCCTAGTTACCCAACCACCAACACAACAGCGAGGGATCTAACTTCCCTCTATTCTAATTTCTCAATGTATATTTGTCAATATGTTGGCTTTCTTCCAACATCCAAGCAATACGTCAATGGTAAGGTTTTAGTTAATGTTTTATTCTTCTTCCCTAGTTACTCAACCACCAACACAACAGCGAAGCATCTAACTGCCCCTCTGTTCTAATTTCTATAATTTCTCAAAACTGGGCTTTCTTCCAAGCAATACGTCAATGGTAAGGGTTTAGTTAATGTTTTATTCTTCTTCCCTAGTTACTCAACCACCAACTGAACAGCGAGGCATCTAAACTTCCCCTCTGCTTCTCTCCCCCTGAAAGCAACCAGAACTTGACACCATTAGCACAGAACACCCAAACCTCACGCTGCACCCACCCGTGATGGAAATGGCATCTTCCTCTTCATCATCATCATCCTCGTCTGTGATAAAAAACACCACGGGTTAACACATGCACCGTCTACACTTAGGGGTGGCAGCAATTATTGGGTGGCAGAGTGAGAAAGCTTTCGCAAAGAAGAGCTCAATATTAGCGCGAGTTTCACCATTGCAATTAAGAGAAAATAGGGCCATGCACATGACAAAGAGTAAACCAGTACACATATGATAAAGTACTAGTAATCAACATCCTAAAACACACTTCTACTAAACCATACTGAAAATAGTAAAAGAGCCAAACTATACTTCTTAAAACGTAATTACACACTGTCAGCCATAGTTCAACTCACTGAAAGATTTTCATTTTTGTGGCATGTTTTTGTTTTAAAATATTTTAAAATATTCAGTGTAGCTGACACAACAAAGCAGCAAAGCTCCACAACCAATGCAAAAATATAACACGGTTTCAGTCACTTTTTAAGAGTTCCAAAATTCAGGAGTCAAAGTAGACTACTTTCTGAGTTCTTCAGCAATGTTGTGATCTATACATTACATATACTACTCTTACCTGAATCCTCCTCTTCCTCCCCCAGGACTCCCTCACTCGCATCCTCCCCATCCAGATCATCGTTCTCCCCATCTTCTGCAAAGGCGAAAGAAAAAAACATTTAGGACACAGGATAGATGGCATTTAGCACGCACTGCACCTGAGTGAAACCCGTAATGTATTGTGCATAGCACTTCGGCAGAACGTCTCATATAAGGTCGTATTCACGTATATAAGGTTAACACCCAGTCTGTAGTTTCCAAATGTTGTGTCGGAGAAGATATTGTCTGCAACAGGCAAAATTCTGATGCAATGTTGACCAAAAATCCAATGAAAACCGTGAAAAATGGGGGTTTACGCAGGCGCAGTACATTCTGCCGACGTGCTATGGCAATTAGGCTTAGAAAAACCTTGTGATAATTGTTTTCAGGTCAAAGATTTTCACCGCAAACTCAGCAGTACGACAGTAAAGTCAAAAAGCAATGCTTGATAAGGCTATGCCAAAGGAAATCTGTACTAGCTTGGTCCTGTTTGTTACAGGCCAATAGATGATGACAGTTAAGTTGTTGCAATGATAATACATCGGCATCTTCAAGACAAACATTCTCAACATCTTAAGACACCCACCATCTTCATCCTCATCATCTTCATCCTCGTCTTCCACGCTGGAGTCGTCCGCCTCCTTGTCTGCTCTGTCGTAGCCGTCTAAGTACTTGAGGCTGGGGATGAGGTTGAAGACGTTCTCCCTGTAGTTCTCCATCTGTGTCACCTCACAGTTGAACAGATCAAGGTTCTTCAGGGTCTGGAAGTCTTTCTACAAGTGGAAACAAGATTAAAAATAGAGATTAAGTACTGCAATTCACTTTATATTCGCGGTAGCAAAAGTTCACAGTCTGAGAAAAATGGACATGTTTACGTAACTATATACATGTATTCACAGTGGTGACAATAAAAAGAAAGTCCAGGAATTATTTGCTAGCTGTAATGATAAGTTCACGCTACAGAAGTGAAAACAATGAATGAACATAACTTGGTTGGGAGGTTGGGAGTTCGAATCCCGGCTGTTGTTGCTCACCCGACATGCACGCTACTGTTTAGGATCGCAGTCCTTAGGACTGGACGTTAAGCCGTGGTCTACTGTTCATTGTGCTGCTTGTCGAAAAAGAGCTAGGGGAATTTCCCCGGTACAAGAACCCGTAAATACTGTACATAGTGTCTGTCTTCTCTGTCACGACCAGTGGAAGATTAGCTCTTCAGTGAGCTAAACTGGCTCAAGATCACTTTCACTTTTCACTTACCAATGGTTCTAATGTTTCCAAGTCCTTGATTTTGTTTCCGCTAAGGTTGAGATGTGTGAGTTTGCCGGAGCCAGACAGAAGATTCAAACCACCCTGTATCCTGTTGTCACTCAACTCCAGCTGCGAAAAGGGCAGAGAAAATTAAAAATCAATCAAATCCGGCAAACACATCAGAGTTACACACAGATCGAAATCCAGACAGACTTCATTTCATGGTGTGGATAATATTATGTAGGACTCCAAATCTGACCAATAGAGGAAAAATTTGGGAAACCAGAAAGGCCGACATTTGCTCGGGAGCAAATGCAGCAGATGGCTTCACCACATCCCCCTTACCAAAAATGGATCTATACCCCTCCCGCACTAATGGACTGTTCCTACTGTTCCAAAGTGATTTGGTGAAGCCATAATTATAGGGAAAAGGAACTTGTCCAAAATCTTTATTTCATTCCTATTTTGACAATACTTCACTAAAAAGGAGAAACCATTCATAGCTTTTTAGCATGTTACATTACTGTTTATCTGCACACAGATTTTCGGCCTCCGTCCCCACAAAATATACTGTAATTCACTTAATGTACACGGTAGAAAAATTTCTTGGTGTGAGAAAAATGGACAATATCACGGAATTATATGTTAACGGTGGTGATAGGTGCAGGAAAAAGAAAGGAATTATTTTAACTGTAATGATAAGTTCACTGTACAGAAGCGACAGTGAAAACAGTGAACATAAAAGTACAGTGAAAATTCAACAGAATTCACAGAATGCTTGAATCATACCCCAGAGATACTGTAATTATTGGTGTCACCTTTTTGAGGCTAGGTAATTTGGGGAAGCCCTTCAGACTGGTCAGACCCACGTTGATGAGTGACAGCGCTTCCAAGTTGGTGAACTCGTCCGTCAAACCTTCAATCATCATACTTCGGCAGTTGTCCAGGTTCAACTCTTTGATCTGCAAAAAGAAAAACAACACAAAAAAATTAAGTTTCTTTCTTTATTGGCAATGATTAATAAACAGGTTATCAAGGTAGTGGTGACTAGTATTAGATAACCCACAAATACAAACGTGGAGATAAACATCAAATAAGGAAAATCTACTGTAAATACAAGACCTGAAAGTTACGTCCACAAAGGTTAGACATCCAGGTTCGATATACACAAAGACTTTTTACCTAAGAACTGGGTCGATTTTGATGAATATTGTTAGTTAGGCATCCAGGTACTGAGACACAGATCTTGAAAATTGTTACTCAAGCTACTGGATAGATTTTCAAAATTTCTTGATAAACAGTTTCCTTGGGGAATGATAAATCTAGTGGTACTGGTTAGCTTCTGTTTAGTTACTACAGACACTTTGTCAAGGTTAGAATGTTGGACCTGCCATTGACAAATTGTTTGTGCTTGACAGAGCGTGATCATCAAATTCAACTGCCACCTTTGATTATCATTTTTCTAACAAAATCATAACATTGTGGTATGGGACGAGAGAAATATTTGCCATTGTGAGACCTATTCTTTGATGACATAATGTCAGTTACCAAATCAATGAATAACTTAGTTATGGAACAAGGCACGAAATTTCTTCTTTAACGGGATGCACCGAAATGATGCATACCCTGAGTGAATAGATTAAGCACAAACACAAACAAATGGTTTCATTGGCAGACCTCCTGATTGCTTCCCTAGTGCTTTAAGTAGAAGAGTAAACAGAAAACCCTCACAGATCCCACCCCACCCAGGGCTCCAAATACTTTTTTTCAGGCACGTGCAAAATTGCACATTGGCAAAAATTTTAGGTGCAATTTCAAGAATTTATGTGCAAAACCATATCTATGACGGTGAATGTTAGACATCAAGATAATAAGATACGCCAAAAAACAGTTACACAAGCATTTGGATATGACTTTGGAAACGGTCAGGCATTTCAGGTAGCATCCACTACCTTTCGTCATTGACACTAAGAGACCACAGGAGAATGGCAGGTTTATAAGCAAGAACAATTGATTGATATGCAAGTAAGTCAAGACAAATTTAAAGAAGGATGATGGAAATTAGTGAAGGAGCTCCTGTTGTTTCACAACAGGAGCTTAAGTGTTGTCTGTCCTTGGGGCTGGGAGCGCCAAATCCCAAGTAATTTTTGCCTTTTTGCCTGCAACAGCCCTCCTACTCAAGGTGCAAATTTCACATTCAAAATATTTTGAAGTGCAAATCTTGAAAATCATGCATTCAGCACATTGTACATGGGTATTTCGAGCCCTGCCACCATAGTGTCCATGAATGCAGGACAAGCAAGGGGGACCACACAATTTGCCTGGCACTGCCTCTTCACAAATGAACAGAAGATTTCAGTTACAGAAAGAACGCGCTGGCAGTGTTTTCTATCTTCACATTACGAGGACCGCAAGTGTTTCTCATCAGAGGAGTCCTTCGTTATCTTAATTGAACTGTGCACGGAAATGATGGCATTAATAATATACAACTCACATGACAGATTGAAAATCTATAATTCTTCATATTATGAAGGTGACACTACACGATTCTAAACAAGACTGCCTGCTTTCTTCGTAACACTCTTCTGTTTTGACTACAAATTATTATTTTAGTACCCTTATGCCCTAAAAATTGTAGACACAGCTACAGTTGTATAACACACACACTGACCCTATGTAAAATATTAGCATTTTATGGTACTTTCCTTTTTGTACAGACACACAGCTAGGGGATCTTGAGACTCGCGGAGCCTAAAAAAGTTTGCGGTTTTGGGAAAATGGACAATCCGTGGTATTTCTAGATTTGTGATTTCTCCTTGGCTATTGAAAGAAGAACTTGTAAATTGCATTTCTAAAAATACTAAAAGTATGTATCTCGGCATTTACCGAAACCCCTTTTCCAAAATCCTAGACTCGGTAATGCCAACCAACACTCTGGAAGCCATCCAAGCCTTGGTACTGCCTTGATGACATCTACAGGCTGCCAAAGATGTATATGCACACTGGCCAGCTTGTAGGGCCCATATCCAACCCCGGTCACCTTATCAGCTCAATGCTACCACCCCCATCTTCACTGTGAATACCTCACTAGATGATCTGGGTCAAACCATTACGGCTGACCTGAGGGGGGTCTGTGTTTTTTTGGCACAAACCCCTCCCACACAACTAAATGACCAAGCGACAAACAATTTTCAAGGGTACTTGGGTTTCAAGCAGGTCACTGACCTTTCAATGGCTACAATCTAAGGTACTGAACTGAAATGCCACATGGTTAATGCATTCAAGAAAAAAATACATTTTGTAATGGATAGAAAACTGGAAAATCTCTTTCTGATTCAAGTTTTAGTCATAATGGACTGTAGTGATCTTGTCTTAGTGTGTATCCAATGTATATGCACACATGTATTCAATTTCAGCCTGCAATGCTGCGTTGCATTCATTGTCTTGGTCTCAAGAATTCCACCACCACTATCTAAAATCTGTTGTTACAACTGTTCAACCAGTAACGTAAGATTCGGTCTGAATCTACCCAATGACAGCCGAATCTTTGCTTCTTTCTTAGCTGAAAAACAATTGAAACTGCCAGATTTAGCTATTTAGAGCAAAGAGGATATCAGGAAATATATTCATAGCTTTCTGACTGGTCTATTATGAACCTGTGACAATAAACTCTTGGACTGGTAACATTTGAACTTGAGCTGACTGTAAGCCATGTGTCCTGGTGTGACCTAACATACACTGGGGTTAGACACTGTCTAGCATACTTGAACATTCTAGCTAAAGGCCTTGGAGCAAGCCATCAATATAATGTCAATTCTAAATGTCAAACCGAAGTTTTATTTTGGTGCTGTACTATCCAATTTTGGACCACAACATAATACGAGAGCTGGTGAAAGGTAATTTTGACCCTGGTAAAAAATTGGACGCGTTCCAACTCCAAGACTGACTTTTGCTGTGTCATCAAAACAATGGTCACAGAGGCATTTTCTTTTAGGCGCCGTATACCCTTAAAAATTGATAACCTAAACCCCTTATAATATATTTACAAAAATTTTACCACATTTACATAATGCTACTTATCTCAAAATGCAAATGCATTAATACAAGCTAGTAATGTAGTTTATCATAAAAATAAGAATACCATAACCAAATGTATGGGCATCACGGAGGCTTCATGTTGTTCTTGTATTTGTAAATTGTTGCACTGTCCTTCAGCATGTATGACCTTAACCATGTGATTGTTCCACCACCCGTTAAGGCAACAATATTTTATTCATGCAATGACTAATCTGTAGTGTCTCTCGGCTATGGCTGTGGATACTAGTACTGGTGAATCGGAGAAAGCTCAACAGCTTCAAAATTTCTAGCCACTTGTTTCCTTACTGACAGTTTTGGTAGAAAGCAAGCATACTATAACAAAACAATTCAGATTCTGAACCTCAAAGATTAATAATTCACCAATAATATAATTAATAATGTAATGTATCACATCAATAATGTCAACCAAAAGGCAACAGTGTCGAAAAATTTATGCCACCTCCAATCGTATCTACCAAACCCAAAGGATAAAGTTTACAAGGATTTTTTCTGGCCAAATTATCTTTCATCCCAACCAATATAATTTTTATTTTAAATTGTAGCTCAGCCCTGCATATATTATTAACATGTGGATATTTACCATAAATACATAATCACTCAGAAATTGACCTTATAACAATGTTTAATCATCCATGACAAAATCCTGACCAAGGTTAGCAGAAATTTTGTCCATGTGTATAATTATGTGCAATATTTCTGGGGTATTTCGTGTACCTCTTTTTATGTTAGCCCACATAAAAATTATGAGCTCAAAAAAAGGAAACAAATAGAGCAATAAAGAGATCACAGAAAAATTTTATTATTGGTGTAGTTTTCAATTTTATTTCATGAAAAAAACGATATTATTTTCAATATATCGTGAGAATACTGTGTAAGCCCCCTAGCGGCCAGCTCCATACTACAGAAGACGTCACATGTAACACGTTGCAGCCAGTCATTTGACTCGTTGCGTCGTCAGAAATACATCTCGGCACAAAATCAACCTTCCGCCCATGAAATCATGCATTAAACGGTCCTGAGTGGACAAATATTGCGGAATTTCAGGCCAGGTGGGATTCTGGGGCAGGTTTGAGGGCTGTCAAACCGCGACAAGTGAAAGTTTTGGGCCCGAGGAAATCGGTAAATGCGCGCGGAAGGGACGCCACGAAACAGCGCACTATTGTTCGGCCCCATCTCCCGATAAACAACCCCACACTGGACGGCTCAGAATGCAAGAAACAACAACATGCATGGGTCGATACTGTAGCGGGGCTCTTCATAAAGGTCGGAAAATTACGGCCAGCCAGGGTTGACCGGGTAGGGTGAGAATTTTAGCAGAATTTAGCGATCTCCTATTTGTTTTATTGTGTAACTTGATTAGCTGCCGATCCAAAATGGCGGCCCCACTCCGCCATGCTATAGCACTTCACGGAAACACAAAAATGGCCGTATCTTTCTTCAACGCGGACCAAAATTGACCAAACTTTCAAAATTTACTGGGATTTACAAGCGTTATCGAACAAAACCGACTTCGTGGAAAATCATCCGCGGGAACATGCCAAATCAGTCAGCGTGGCCGAACGCCGTTCGCCGCGGGATCAGAAAAATTCAAATTTGCTCGACTCATTTTGAACGTCGCCGCCAACATGCAAAGGTCTGATTCCACTGGACAATACTCGGCGATCGAAAAATGACAAAACCCAGATTTTTCTCACAAAAATCAGGTCGAAACCTCCGGCAAATTCGAGAAATTCGGCAAAAATCTACTGACAAGACAAACAAATCCTGACATGCTCTACATACGAATGTGGAAGGCATGAAGAGGGGGAAACTCAAAATGGCCAAAACCCCGCGCCCCTTTCCTCCCCTTCCCGTTACAAAACCA